CTTTAATATACACATATACATACACAATGCTACGCCGACCCCTCGCAGTTACCTAAGAGACATTAAATACTAGGCCTATAGTATATAGTTCCCTATATATATATACCTCTACCTACGACCTACTCGTCCCGCCTATACTACCCTATTATATCGAGTACTTCCGTAGTTTATACTTCTTTAAACATAAGTATAAAGGTAACTATATCTTATAGACCTATTAATTAAACTGCTTAGTATACTCGGATTTCTAAAGATATACCTAGCTAGCCCTTTCGAAGGTATCTAGGTTAATACTTAATGTTCTTATATCTCTAAATAACCTTCTACTTAGACTCCGTAAAGGTAATAACTAGGTACTAGTACCCTATAGCGAATTCCTACTACTAGGATTCGAAGAGGATAAATCTAGCCCTAATCGTCGTCTAGTACTTAATAGGCTCGAAGGCGAGTATATAGCCTTGTCTCGACGTTGTCGTAATCTAGCTAGTATACTAGACTATTTTAACTATCGTCTCGTCGTTACCCTTCCTAGTATAGCGTCTAGGATATATATAATCTCGGTCTGTATATTTTAATATAATCTCGGTTAGTATATTTTACCGTTTTATATAGTAAGGTTAGGAGTAGTAGATATATACTAGTAGCTATAGGGAAACACCCTTTCTTTTATAGTATCGTATCGTTAGGAATAGCTAGGTAGTAACTAGCTAGCTATCTTTTTTTTACTTCCTAGCTACCCTAGCTAGCCTAACTACTAGAATTCTTTTCCTAGCTACCCTAGCTATCCTAACTACCTAGATTTTGCCTTCTATACGGCGGCTCTCTCCTACTAACGGAATCGAGCTACTATACCTAACGAATCTAAGCTTATTTTTAGTTTTAATCTATCCTCTTTCGGTATAAGATACTCGATAAGTAATTGCTTAGGCTAAGTCTAACTACGAAACCTAATACTAACTAATAGCTCTATTAACTAATCCTAGTCCTCGAACTCCTTCCGCTTCTTAGTAAAGACCTTAAAGAGCGCCCGAGCTTCGTTAGATACCTACGAAGTAGTTAAGATAAAGCCGTATCGCCGGAAATAGGTAATCCTTCGGAGCCTTATATAGAGATTAAGAGAATTCTAACGCGAAACTATCCTACTAGTAGCTTAGATTCCGAATATAAGCCCTCTCTACCTAAGTAAAGATTTTATATAGTATTAGTACTCTATCCGCGGAAATCGCTTTCTATTTAACTATTAGTATCTACCGGCTACGAACGCCGGCTATATATACCGGCTATAGAATACTTACTTATACCCCTCTTATGTTTAGTAACTCCTCCGCCGGCCCTAGATACCTAGTCCCTATTATATTAATCGTAACCTACTTTGCCTTTATAGACGTAAAGATATCGCTCTAATACTAATAAAGAAATTTCTACTCTATATCGAGGATATAAAGACGACTAGTCTCGATTCTAATCCTCGCTAGCTTTTTAAAGTAGCTTTAACGATAATTTTCTCGATTAATAGGACTTGTACCTTAGCCCTTTACTAGCAGTACCTCGTTTCTTTAACTATACTCGGTCTACTCCTATCGCTTATCGTCTATAGCGCTAGGCGCTAACACTATATCTATTACTAGATCGACGTATAGTATCTCCTTATTTCTTTTAGTCCCTTTATTCGTAGTATTAAGCTCTTTCGTAGTATTCTAAACTCTAGCACTATTGTTCTCGGCTAGCTAAATATCTCCGTTACTATTAATCGTATTAAGAGGTAGCGTTATTAGGTCTAAATACTATTAGTTACCGTTTTAAAGAAAGAAATACCGGCTATAGCTACCGGCTATATTAACTTACGCTAGTAGAAAGTTACGCTTAAAACCTAGACGTAATTCCTTCCTCTTCTAAGCCTTCTTTCAGGTTATCTTTGTATTCTAACCTTTTTTTTCTATAGGCGCTAGCTATTAATAGAATACCTCATTTCCCGCCTTTCTTTTCTTTTTCTTTAATCTTTTATCCTTATTATTTTCTCCTTTCTCTCGTAGTCTCGTATAGAACTCTACTTCGTAGAGTACTTCTCTTTAGTCTTACGCTTTTTTCTTAAATACTTAGGTAAAACAAACTCGGGGTCTTTAGTTCTATCTTCTATTTAGCGCGCGGCGCGCTTCTCTTTTACTATTTTAAGAGAGAGGGGGGGGGGGGGGGCGTAGCGTATAGTAGTTATTATAGATATAGGTATAGAGGAAGAAGAAGTTAAAAGATATAAGAATGTCGCGGAGCCCTAATTATTGCTACCTACGTAACGTTACATAGGTAAGCTTTTATAACTATAGTAACTACGCCCTAGTAATAGCAAATACGCCCTAGTAATAGTAAATACGCCCTAGTAATAGCAACTACGACCTAGTAATAGTAACTACGACCTAGCAACGTAAATAGCTATTATTAAGGCAACCGCGAGCTTAGTAAATATAACCTAGTTACTATTATAGCTAGTAATAGTAGCCGGTAGTCGAATAACTATCTATAGCAATCCTAGGCTAGGAGATTCCTACCTTATTACTTATTAGCTCTGCCTTAGTAGCTACCTCTTCCGCGGCTACTACGGTTACTATTACTATTTAGTCGGATCTTCGATTCCAGTCGTTTCTAGGCCTATATAGCCTATTTAGCTAGGTTAACCTCGACTATAAATTCGAGACGACTATAGTATTATTTAAATATACGGCGGCGGTCTAATTTAAGGGCAAGCTCCTATCTAAATTTAGGCCGTACTTCTGAAATCTATACTAAATTAGATTTGGGTGGTAGGCTGTCCTTAATAGCCCTTAATTAGGTTTAGAAGGCTCGAGCCGTTTTATTAGATCTCTATCTAGTATAGAGGAATTATTCTTAAGTACGCTATTGTCTTAGATAGGGGTTACTAAGCGTGTTTATTATAGTGTTCTTATAGGTTTACTAGTCGATCTTAGACAGGTCTTCTAGGGAATTAAAGTAGTTATCCTAGGCTCTCTTAGGGTCGCTATCGATATATTATATAGCGTAGACGACTAAGGCGTAGTCGTTTAATAGCGCTTTTAGTATATTGCGCTAGTTAAGCTTATAGTTACGGATATAGTTACTATACTACTTCCTACTAGAGCTATTAAATATAGTATAGTCCTTAAGTTTAGTATTCTTCCTTAGGACTAGTTCCTCTATTATAGGAGTTCCGAGTACTAGGTTCGGCCGTAAGGCGTTAGATAGCCGCGAAGTTATTACGGACTTCCTTCTCTTATATAGGGTCCTAGAGTCTACTACGTAAACAGGTCCCTAGGCCCCTAAGGTTAGGTAGTCTAAATATTACATAGCTAACTCGTTAGCCTATAGTATAGCCCTTATTTAAAATATTGTTATTATCTTCTATTTTGCTAATACGTATTATTTAGTCGATAATAGGTCTCCTAGTAACGCGGATATAGCGAGATTAGTATATCTGTATAATAGTACGATTAACTTAGTTAAATAGGCCGTATAGAAGGCCTAAGCTAGTAATTAGCGCGGTTAAATTAGTAGTTTCTTAGCGTATAGGTCTTTTTTTAGTACGAATTTTAAGCCATATTACTAAATCGATTAACTATCTAGCTATAGCCCTTAAAAGATAGATCGAATACTATATAATATAGCTTAGATAAGCAGGTAGATAGTATAGTTAAAAGCGTATAGTATTCGATAAGATCTATAAAGGAGGGAGAGGAAGGTTAGGAAGTTAGGCTAGCGCTAGGCGCTAAGCCCTGCCTAAGGTACTAAGACCCTAGCTTTACTTAGCCGATTATATGCCTTTTATATACTCTCTAATATACCTATATTATTACTCCGAGCCTTACTTCTATTAACTAGTAATAAGTCTACGGCGATTGTATTAGTACTAGTAATAATAGTATAGTAGTTATAGCTAAGAGTAGCGTCCTTAGTTTAATTTACCCATCCTAACTCGTTAAACCTATTTAACTAATATATATTTACTTAATCCTTTACCTAATTAATTAGACGCTACCTATACGATTGCTATAATAACTAATAGTATAATATAAAGGACTTAATTTAGAATTAGACCGTATAATACGAGTTCTCGAATAAGGCTCTAGTTATTAGTCCGTACTTTAACTAGATAGGAAGAAAATAGTTCCTAGTAATAGGGGCCGTATATAAAGGTATATAGACCTCCTCGGGGGTTTTCTATAGTCTAGATTATATAGCGATATTCTTCGGGATACTCGGGGTATAAAATAAGACTCTCTTATATATAGTATAGATTTAAACTAATCTTTTTTATTATTCTAATAAAGTACTATATAAGAAGTTAGAAAGATTAATTTTCCTTTGTTTTTATATAATAAAGTATTAGCTACCTTGCCTAAAATAGAAGGTATACCTCTTTTATCTAAGGTAAGGGGGTATATAACGCGTTAGCTTAGTTATATAACTATTATATAGCTTCTTAGTATATAAAGAATTTTTATACTATATTTTAGACTATAGAATAGACGGAATTGAGGAAATTAACGAAGCTAATTGAAACCGCCGGCAATACAGTATTACGTAAGCAATCCACTGCGCTGTGCGTGCTACGACCAGGTGGATTTGGCAGATACAGAAGGCTGAAGCCGTATGGGTGAGAGTTTACTGAGAAGCCTATTGATATTGCTGGGACACAAACTTTCCAGGACACACTTCCAACTGTAATGGAATCCTGGATGATCTGGTCGATTTCAGGAATGCTGCAGGACCTGCAGGACCTATGGAAGATCTACTGTCAACGGTGAGAGGACCGTTTTGTTGCGTGTATTTGTGAAGGGGTGTCAAAATCGACCGATGAATGTTTCGGACTTCATGCTTCCTAGATCTGACAGATACTTGTAATGACTATTGCAAACAATCATCCATTCTTTCGTCCTGGCACATCTGGCTGTGTTCGGCAGTCAGCGCCTAACGGGATCCACAAACAGCCCGGATGGACATATTGTACATGCCTTGAAATACTTCTGTTTCGTCTTGTTTCCTAACCTGTCTCGTGTCCATTGCGCCTTGTCCCGAGATCGAAACTCGGCCGACATGGCCGTTCTTTCTGCGCTGATCAGAGTGCGTATCTGCGAATCAGACAAGCCAATGACACCCATCTGGTCTCGCTGGGCGAGTGCTCGAAATGAACTGCTGGGCACCTGGCGATCTGCCTGTTCAAGATGAGCAGACCTAGCAAGTTCTTGTGTCGTAAATGGATCCATTACATCTGAGCTGTGGCCCGTCGTCTCCGCTTCCTGAGTATTGTCTTTCCGCTCGTATTCCTTGACTCTGCGCCGACTACTGTTTTCTAGAAGGCTTCGTCGACCAGGCCGAATCCTATTTTGTTTCGCATGCTTGCTGAAGACCATAGCGCCAGACTGTAAGCGAAGCTCTTGATCAGATAATCTTTGGGATGTGCCCAGGTTCTCGTCATCTCCAGAATTCCAGAAGTCCAAGAAATCCGAGTCGGGCGACAGGTTCAGCATGCAGTGTCCTTTGGTAAGCATATGCCTTCTCACAGCTTCGGCAGAATGCTTCTCCTGACCGCAGTAGAGGCATGCATGGAAATGACAGATGACCAAGGCCAAATATGCTAGGAAAGTTCCCAGATCAGTTTCGAGATGTTGCAAGTGCGGGATGGTAAATGCATGGCAGGCAGACATGTGGTCCAGATTGTCTTTCATTGAGCTCGAGGCTGTCAAGCAGAAAAGGCAGTCAGTGGTCGCTGCCATCTCGTCTTGCTCAAGATCGCCTTCATTGCTGCTATCCTCATGTTCGTGATCAGACGGCGTGCATTCCGGAGCAGTTGAATGCACCTCCGCGGGCTGCACGACGCTGTCGTATACTCGCGAAGAGATGGGAGGAAGCTCTGCGACTTTGCGCTTGAGGTTGTAGACGTGCCAGTCTGCGCGCATGTGCTCTCGTCTGTCGTGCTGACGTGGAAAGCTGATGCCGCACGTGCTGCACAGAAATTGCGCGGCAGCAGTTGTTGTGCTTGCAGATGTAGTGTTGAGCATTGCCTAGACTCTACTCTGTTAGGGCGAGTGACTTGACTTCCTTGCACCAGGGTAACTCCGATCGTCGCCGACGAGTGCATGTATATGTCTACAAACCTCAGGCGTCGACTCATCGTGCCTCATTGTGGCAGGGAGGTATATCAAGTGACTCATCCTGAGCCAGCAAGGACAATGTATCCAGCGCTCAACCGTGCTCTTCAGCTATGCCCATGCCTGCCTGTACACACTCATCGTAAATTCCATTTCTGTGCATTTTCGCTTTTGCTGGCCGACGGCCGACAGCCGACGTTCAAGCAGGCAGACTGGCTCAAGATGGACGGAGAGAAGTTAAGGTAATGTGGCAGCACGAAAGCGCCTCCTCGGCAGCTTCCGCACAAGGTCTCGCTTGCTTGCTTGCTACCTTTATGCGCCCACCCTCGCAACTCCACCCAAGAATCCTCCATCGACGCCTGTTTTACACAACCCAGCGCGTCGGACCAGTGCACTGGACAGAGATCATGGCATTGTCCGCGCCTCCTGGACAAGCTTCATGAATGAATATGTGCAAGACTCCTTACGCCGTCGCTCCCAATTTACAAGTGCCACAACACCCTAAAATGACAGTGAAGTTTGCTCATTCCTCTAAGACGATGCTTCGCTCGCGAGTCTGCGCGTCAACGATCTTCTCCCCTTCCTGCCGAACCACGCAATCTTCGCAACCATCAACACCGCAAACTCGAACCCTCGAAAACGGCTTCTCGATTTCCATGATATTTGGGGCTCGCATTGTCAATCACTCGCTGTTCCCCCGTTTAATATGTCTGCAAAAATTCCACGCAGTGCGTCCGTCCTGACAGGATCTTATCTCCGCGGCATGATGCCTGGTGGAAAACCCTCGTATCCTCTCTGATCGCCAGGTCCTCTCATTTGCTGTGCAGCTGCGAAGCCAGGCGGTGGCTGTTGGAAAAATCCAGGAGGCCCGTTTGTAGGCGATGTCATGCCGCCGAAACCCGGCGGCGGTCCATCTCTCTGTCCCTGACTGAAAGCATTGAGATTGTGGAAGCCGGGTGGATGGCGTGGCATCTGCTGAAAGCCAGGAGGCGGTCCGCCGCTGCTAATTGGTGAGGTGAGTTGGTGTGGAAAGTCGCCTGCCGCTTGCTGGAACTGAGCCTGGTGAGACTGACTTCCAGGAATCTGCATCTGTGGGAGGGTTGGGTGACCGCTCATGCGACGAGGCGGCTGTTGCTGGTGTTGTTGTAGATGTTGATGTGCCTGTTGTAGCATGGACTCAGAATGCATGCGCTGGAGCTGGGCATGCTGCTGTGCTTGTCTCTGCTGCTGCTGCTGTTGCTGTTGGATGAATAGATCTTCGTTGAAAAACCCAGGGGGAGCACGCTTCTGCATGGGACGACGGGTATCTTGCATGGCTCGCTCGTGCATATTCGTCATCTCCGGCACATTTGCTTGCCGTGGGGGGTCCTGTGGGTAGTTCCTCATGAGTTGCTCCTCGAAAAGACCGGGCGCTTGAGTTGGCACTCTTGGCTTAGGTTGATGAGGCTCACTCGGGAGATTCTGATGCTGATGCTCAAGGAGGCGCTGCAATTGCAAGGCGTCCGTGCCGGCATTTGGTTGGGCCTGGCCCGATTGGGGCTGTGAGCTAGCGCCACCCTTGTTCCTAAGGAGGTTGAGCAATTGTTGACTCTCCATACTCGTGCCGTGCTGCCTTCTCTGATGCTGTGCAAGAACGTTCTGTACCATGATGTCAGGAGATGGTGCGCCGCGAGAAGGCGGATCGAAGATGTGTGCCGCATCAACACGTCCAGATCCAGGGCGTGGCTGTTGTTCACGCAGAGCATTGAATGGTATGCCGCTGTGGTCTGGCGACCTCTGCAGGTCATGCACTTGACTGCGCGAAGCGGGAAGCTCAACTGGCAGTCGTTCTGGCAAACGTGAGCCGAACAGCTGGTGCTGCAATGGCTCTTCACTCGGACCTCTGTTTGAGCCATCGAACATGCTGTCAGGACCAATCGAGCCACCGCTTTGCTGTGGTGATTGCATACGATCTGGGCTCTTCTGGGCAAACACGTTTGCAAATCTGCTCTTGGATTTGCCGATTGTGCCATTCGAAGTCATGGACTTCAGCAGTGGTGGCGGCGATGACGGCTCTGGATCAGCTGCTGGAGACGGCTGTGGAGCTTGGGTGAGCTTGCTCTGGTTGAGCATCTGCAACATCTTATTGAATCCTTCATGGTCCTCGGCGGTGGTCGTCACAGTTCCATTGGTAGGTTCTGGTTTGGGCTTTTCGATTGGCGCAGGCGAGGGTTCTGGCTCGACTGGTTTGAACATGGATGCGAATCGACTCGTCTTCCCAGACTTGCCAGGTGGATGTTTAGGCGCAACGGTGCCAGTCGATGGTGCACTCGAGCCGGGCGTCGTTGTCGATGCTCCACTTCCCCATGCGGCGAAGATGCTGTTGTCAATTTCGAGCTTGAGTGGAACGGCCTGCGATTTCGGCTCAGGTGCAGGCGGCGGTGGCGTTTCTTCCACATGAGGCTCGGGCTCGGCGTCGGTCTGTTGCAATGCGTCAGTATGGATCAGATGACGAGGCCGAGTGACATACCTTTCCCTTCTTCATGCTCTCCTTCCACTTCTGGAACTCATCTGCATTTCTAGCCACGCCGAAATCCAGCTCTTGGTCCTGCTTGACTAGCGGATCATCCTGGCTGAACCACTCGGGCTCTTTCTCGTTGTGCTCTTCACGTTGCCGCCGCGCTGCCTCCCGGTCGCGCCAGCCACCTGCGGGTCGCTCTCTGTCGCCATTCTGGCGTCTGTCGTCCCTCGTCCAGCGCGGGTCATGTCTTTCACCGTATCCGTTTCGCCGCTCGTTGTCATGATCCTTGCCGTGTCTGCCAAAGCCGCGCTCTTCGCCGTCATCACCGCGCTCTTTCCTGAGGGACCAACTCCCACGGATGTCATTCCCATCCTTCTCATTCATGCTTCGACGGTTGAGCTGGCGATCAGAAAAGAAGCGACTGCGCGCAGACTCCGGCTCATCGCCGGCGCTTGTGTCTCCCGCAGTCGTTTTGTCATGCGCGTCTGCAAGCTTGGAGAGGTGGCGGCTGGAGGGAAACATGGTTCGCGGAGGGCCAAGTGCGATGTCGTCTTGGCCAAATGTTAGCTCATGGCCTGCAATGCGGCGCTAATGTACTCACCGCCATTCTGGCCGCGCTGTGTCTCCTTCCTGACGCCCAATGTCGGTCGTCCCGTGCTGAAGCTACCCATAGGACTGCTGTCACCGCCTGGTCCACCCGCCAAGACCTGGCGCTGTTGTCTGGCGGCATTGCGTGTGGTGGTATCGGCAAGTTGCTGTCGATTTTGCTGATTGCTCTGAGCAGTCTCACTGTGCGGGATCCTTAGCTTTTCCCTCACGCCGTCCTGCTCCATGTACACATACTCTATCCATTGCTCGATCGCAGGGAGATTCTCCGGCTTCGCAACGAGCGGACTGTGCTGCAGCGCTTTCAGCTGCTCAATTGTGTACGACCGGACTGCCATCACCGCGACGGCGCCTGCGGCCGGGCGTGTCGCTCAGGCGTAGGCGTGTGCGCTTGTTCGCGAAAATGCCGCTCTTCAGCTCAAGACGTTGTGTGCGCAATAATGTGCAGTACGTGCGTATGATACAACCACCGCCGGCTCTGGCGCTCACAAGGGCGAAGAGGGGCGATGCGCACCGCCGCAAAGGGCTCGGGTGGTGGATGGTGCTCGGTGCTCAATCGTATCACTGACACAGGCTGCGGCGGAGCTGTGTTGAACTGATGATGCGGAGGGTGCGTGGTGTGAGAGCGTATGAATGCGCTCAATCGATTATGCTCAACCAAATGACAATAATGTCTGGCAAGCGGTTGACTGTGGCTGCGATGTCGGGTCAATGGGGTGGAGAATGAAAGATGCAAGTTTTGTCAACAGCAGTAGGTAGAATTGGCGGAGCTGCTCGTGGTGTGAAGTGTATACCCAGGTGCATGTGTACCTATCCGGGGTTTCGTCAGTCACACTTCACCCCTCGCCTAGCTTGGGGATTTCAACTATTCGTAAAATCGCACTTTTTTGGTGGGCTACACGTAAAACTCGATGCCATAGTAAGTTCCAGTTCTATTTAGATATCTATATAAACAGCGAGTCTAAATATTATATTAATAGCCTTATCTAAGTATATAGTAGCTATAGACTTTACTATTACTTCTTCGTATAGGCGCTCTTTATATACGCGTCTAAACGAGTATAACCGGCGCCTACTAGGAGATTATATAGGAATTAGCGCTAGCAAAGTATATAGTTATATCTATAGTTATAATATACTTAGATAATCTCGTAACTTTAATAATTAGACTCGTAGTCTACGACTTTATATACCTAGATAAGCTAGATATTCCTATATAACTAGAAGATACGACTATATTAAGTTTTATATATAGCCTACCGAAAAAGTATAATTTTATATATAGTTAAAATCCCTATAATCGTAGAGTAAACTTAGTAAAGTTATTATAAGTAAGTAACGCGTATATAGAAGCTAGTTATAAGACTTAATAGGCTCGATAAAAAGAGAAAACTATCTACTAGAATACTACTTATTTTATATAATACGCTAGGTACTAAGTAGTAGGTTATAATCGTATAGGTCGAATACCTAAGGGGCTAAGGCTAGTATCTTCTACCTAGAGTATAGTCCCCTATATTATCACTATCCTCTCTCTTCTTTTAGATAGAATTAGGAAATCTTCTATAGTTTCCTTTCTTTATCTTAGTCTTTAAAGCTAATATAGACTTAAGCTTTTAGAAGTAACGCGAAGGTAGATACTATTGATTCTATCGGGGTTTCTATATATTACTAGTAGGCTTACTTTTCTCTAGATACTAGTTCCCTACCGCTTCGCCGTTACTATCTAAGTAGCGCGCTTTTACTCTAAAACCGCTTTCTCTACCGCGCCGTTCCTACTAGTTCTTAGCCTTTACTTAGGCTCGTATCTACTATTAATCTTTAAGTTTACTTTAGTCTTAGATCCCTATAGTATTAGTATTTTATCCTTTTTTAGCTTCTTTTTCTTTTCTATATATATCCCTACTACTACTACTACTACTACTACTACTACTACTACTACTACTACTACTACTACTACTACTACTACTACTACTACTACTACTACTACTACTACTACTACTACTACTACTACTACTACTACTACTACTACTACTACTACTACTACTACTACTACTACTACTACTACTAGCGCTAGCTAATCCGACTACCGATAGCCTTAAGCTTAGCTTTACTAGCCTCTGTTTTTTAGAGGAAGTACTTATTCTTACCCTCCTTAGGTATATTATCTTCCTTATCTACTACGCAATTCTTAGCTATAATAGTATTAGCTAGTAACTAGCCCTATACCTATAGGCTAGGCATTAAGCCTATAAAAGAGGCCTCCTTCTATAGTATAGACAGATTTTTAACCTCGTATAGTATATAATTTATATTACACTCCTATAGTGCCTATATTATAGGGCTCTAGTTACTAGCCTAAGCGATATATTTGTTATCCTATCTTGCTAAACATAGCTGCCTATATTATTATAGGTTATATTACCCTTAGTAACCTATACTATTACTACTACTACTAGTAGTAGTAGTAGTAGTAGTAGTAGTATTAGTTTCCGTCCTTTATTAGAGCCGAAGGTAGGGCTATCTCTTTATATCTAATAGGTATAGATATATTAAAGGTAGTCTTAGGGTACGAATAGCTGTAACCGAAGCGAGAGTACGATAAGAGCCTACGATATAGACGATATAGAAGTATCTTAAAGGGGCTATTATAACAAGTAAAGAACCTCTTAATAAGGGCATCTCTTTAACCCCGAAGAGCTATATACCCTTAGGGCTATTATAGCTTAGGGCCTAGTCTACGACTATAGCTAGTTTCTAAGGACTCGGCTCTAGGTTAAAGACCTATTTAGTACCGCTTACTCGAGATAAGCTATTACCTACCGGCCCGGTTATAAGATAGTAACGCGGACTAGTAGCCTAAAGGGGAGATAGACTAATTACCTATTAACCTTACTAGGTCCTACTAAGACTATCGATAGATAGCAATTTCTAGATAGTAGGTTAGATAACTAGAGAGTCCCTATTAAATAGGTAGATTTCTCCCCGATTCGTAGCCTCGCTTAGA